GGCAATACTGTTTTGAAAGGAGTAAATTTATAGTCTTCTGGGTATTCTCTTTTAAAATCACAAAACAAAGAAAAATAAGTTAGGGAGCAGGAAGAAAGAGGGCTGTTTCTGTAGGCTCTATGATCTAATGATGTGCTGGTTTTCATTACTGTCAGTATTAGTGATAGTAAAACTGCTAAACAACATTGGAAGCAATCAGTCTCTGGGCATGAATGTTGTTAAGACTTTTGCTTTTATTATTTTTTGGTAACTCTTTGAACTAGTGATCACATAACAATTGGTTTTGGAAAAAAAAAGCATTAATGGGGGTCAGTTAACTGCAAATGGGTAGCAGATTCTCTGACTGACCTCTTCATGTTATGCATAGAAAGGCAGATGGCTTCCGAGTTGAGGCAGACGTGGCGAACCATAAGTTATTGACTATGCTTCAAGGTTGCCTTTTGTTGTCAGAACACTTAGCATAAGGCAGAAATGGTAGACTATACCTGAAAAGAACAAAACACCATTAAGGATAATAAATCAGTACTTAAAAAAAGTATAACTGCCAAGGCCATCTCAAACAGAAATTTCTTTTATGTGCCTAAAGTTGTTTCTTTGTAAATTTTTAGAGAAAATTTTGCTATACAGCGCATGTGCTCACTGGAGAGACAGAGAGACAGAAAGTGAGAAATCACTCCCCGAGGGGATGGCCACGCCCCAATCCCCTCTCCTCTATCCTCCTCTCGGGATTTTGGGCATGCACGCACACGCGCCCAGTGTGAGTTTTAAACTGCTGGGTCTGGAACTCGAACTGTGGTCGACTCCCTAGGAGTCCAGTGACATAACTATTATTTATCTGCTGATCCCCTAAAGTTGTTTTAAAAAATATAGTAAAATAAAGGCAAAAACAAACAGCTCGTTCCAGCAAGCCAAGATTGATTTGGGTATTCTTTCTAATGTGATAAATCTGAATGAAACCAAGAGTGCTTGACTGAGCACACTAGCAGAGGGCCATTTGGAGAGCATACGTGGAATAGAGAAATAGAGATAAGATAAAATATGACCAAGGAAAGTCTTGGGGATTAAATTATGTGCATGTAGTGAAAATCATATATAATCAGAACAGCCATACAAATCTCTGTAAAGTTGCCAAATTTACAGATATAGACACACTGTCTTTTTTAAGAATTATTTTATTAATTTTTTTTTTTTCCAATTTGACTAGAGAGAGACAGAGAGAGAAAGTAAGAAAGGAAGTCAGCAAATCTGAGACATGAACCGTGGTTGGCCACGTGGGAGTCCAGCGCCTTTAACCACCGTGCCACCTGCCGGCCCTGGCACAACGTCTTTCAAGAAGTCTAAATGGAGTAGTTCTTCCTATGGCATTGCTTTTTTTTGGTTGAACAATTCATGAAGGCATTAGTTATATTCTTTTGAGCGACTGTGGGCAGAATAAAAGAATTGGAAGAACTTTTTGTTCTAGGTTGTGAAACTGATTTTTATTAATTAGTTCCATGAGTAAAAATGACTTTTTTTTTTTTTTTTCAAATGGCCTTTGTTTTTTAAAATAAATCCTTGGGTAACAAAGTTGTTAGAGAGACCAGTATGTCTCAGAAAAGCCTGTTTTCTTCTGCGTATGTGAACTGTACCTCTTTGCAGCTCTAGTTTTCCTTCACGTTTGTTGTTTTGGGCCACTCTCCTGTTTGTACTCTGCTATGCCGTCTGATGGACACATTTTTTCAAATTCTTACCTTTATTTGCTTTTCATCTGTGTTCCTATACTCATCCATACTTGTCCTGTTCTCAGTATTTTTCTGTTCAGAAACAGTGGAATAGTAAAACTCAAATTCAGTTTTATTTATACTGTGGAGTAGCTTAGTATAATCCTGGAGCCAATTTTCTTAATTCTGAAAGAGAGAAAGTCGAACTTCGGTAAATAGAATGTGATACAGAAGAGGTGCCAAATGGTCCTGTCTTCTGGACTCGCTTAGAATGTTCAGATTCTGTCATCTGTAGACCTTGCCTTCGTGAAACTTCTCTTGACTCAAGCCAGACTTGGTGCCCTGAGAACTGAAGGATAGGTAAATCCAGTGTTTCTATAAATTTCAGCAACTTTGGAATTTTCTGTTTCTTCTCAGTTAACATCCTATCATTTTATAGATCATATCCTATGGCCACTTTTTATCCTGATCAGAAATCAGGAAGATGAAGCAAAGAGATTCAGGTTGTGGGCCAGATGGTGGTGCAGCAGTAAAACAACTGGGCCCACATGGGAAGGTCCTGTGTTGGCATACCGGGCCCTCCTTCAAATGCTGAGTGTGTATGCTCACATGCCTGTAATCTGGGCTGATGGAGATTGAGGGTGGGTCTCAGTGTGAAGATCTTCTTTGTGGTGCCTGTCTTTCTGTCTCTCGTTCTCTTTGTATCTCTGTGATGGTGGCAATAAATAAACTTAAAAAAAAAAAAGAGGATGGAAGGTCCTGTGTTGGCATACCGGGCCCTCCTTCAAATGCTGAGTGTGTATGCTCACATGCCTGTAATCTGGGCTGATGGAGATTGAGGGTGGGTCTCAGTGTGAAGATCTTCTTTGTGGTGCCTGTCTTTCTGTCTCTCGTTCTCTTTGTATCTCTGTGATGGTGGCAATAAATAAACTTAAAAAAAAAAAAGAGGATGATTAATCTACGATGGTAGAAATAAATAAACTTAAAAAAACAAAAAGAGGATGATTAATCTTGAGGATAGCATGTAGAATTGATTCCACATAAGATATCTTTTATAACAAACCCGAACTTTTTGACTTAAAAATGATTAATTAATAGGAGCAGTTATGTTTTTTCGAACACCAAAGCCCAGTAGAAATTCTTGCTCTATCTGAATGATTAATAGAAATATAGAGAAGCTCATTGAAAGTATTGGTTTATCTTTTTTTTTTTTTTTTAAGAGGATTTTGTTTTAGGTTGCATGTGCTTTCCTGAGGCAGACAGAGACAGTGAGAAGGAAAGTGAGAAATCATCCTCCCAGGGAAGATGGCCATGCTGCAATCCCTTCTTCATTCTCCTGGGATCTTGGGTACACATGCACATGGCCTGATGTGATTTTCAAGCCACTGAGTCCAGGACTCGAGCTGCAATAGGCCATATTGGGATTCAGAGACATAACCACTATGCCATCCACTGGCTCTAGTATTGGTTTATCTTTAGGTAGAATGTAAACTTTGTATCTACTTCAAAAAGCATTTAAGTGTGTTACTGAACCATAATAGATACATAACCTGATAGGGCATTGAAAGTTGACGTTAGATTCCAAGTTTTTCTTGAATAATAATCATCATGGACTGACTGTGTGTGTGTGTGTGTGTGTGTGTTTGAAAAATGAAATCCAAGCAGTAAGAAACCTAGCAGGTTAGAGAGTACATTCATCATTCTTTTTCTTTGCCAGAGGGCACATGCACTTGTGTGTGTGTGTGTGTGTGTGTGTGTGTGAGAGAGAGAGAGAGAGAGAGAGAGAGAGAAAGAAAGAGAGAGAGAGAGAGAGAAAAAGTACCCCTTTTTGAGTGTGGTCATGTTATAATCTGTTATTCTTAATTTTCCCATCTTTTCAGGATCCTGGGCATGCATGCACATGTTCCTAGTGTGTTTCTCAAGCCTCTGGCTCTGGGACTCGAACCATGTGGTCAGCCGTGTGGGATCCAGCTTTCTTAAATACCAGGCCATGGACTTTCCCTAAACACTTTTTAATCAATTAAAATCTCTGTAAGGTTGCATTTATCAATAATTTGATCAGTTGTCTATAGATTCTTCTTTTCTCTCTGATACTCATAGACATCACTAAACATCGAGCAGCAGAAATTTGCAAGAGGTGGTATTCATCCTTGGCTACTGCTTCTGATCAGCAGTGGTTGCGGCTGATAAAGAGGGAATCATAATGTCTCTATCTAAGATTGCATTAGAAAAACAGTCCAGTATTTCTATCACTTGGTTGTACTTTCTGGAAGCAGAACTGCCATCATCAGCAGGAGTCCATTTCGGCTGATGGCTTCTGTTACTTCTTTCTCTGTTACTATGGAGACTGCCTAGAAAGAGGCAGAAAAACCAAAAGTTTAAAAAACAGTGATCTGATTACAATATTTTTTTTGTTGTTGTTATAAAGCACATTCATCTTCTGGAGAGAGAGGGACAGAGACAGGGGGAAAGTGAGAAAGCGCCCCCCAGGAGTGGGGGCCACTCCACAGTCCCTTCTCCTCCATCCTCCTCTCATGCCTGGAGCAATTTTTAAGTCGTTGGGTCTAGGACTTGAACCATGGAGTCAGCCATGTGGGATCCAGCACCTTAACAACCATATCACTTGTTGGCCCATAAAATACGGTTTGTACTCTAGCTTAATCTAGATAATCCATAATCTTGGCATTTTTTTAAAGTAAGGGTTTTGTATTAGTTTATTTTGGTACAAAGGTTTTCAAAAATCCTTGCATAGTTTTTTCATACTACATATTTTCCATGAATCTTTTGAATATCCTGTATATCTGACTTCTGATAAAATACATCTAGTTCTCAGTACATATTTAATAGGAGAGTGTTAGAATTTAGAGAAGTGAAATTTATGGGGGTAATATTTAGATCTCATTGATGTTAAAAACTTTGATATTTGTTCCCACTTTCAATATCTTTTTAAATTTTTTAAAGTTTACTCACATTTTGCTTTTATGAGTGAGAGATAGAGAGAGACTGACTGACCAACAGGTCTTGATGCCACAATCCCCGCCAGCTTCTGCCAGCCCCAGATCACAGGCATGCGTGGTGTTCTCAGGTAGACCTCCAGACGTGAACCTGAACCCTTCCCTGTGAATTAGCCTCGCACGAGCATCACATTGTACTGCCGCACCACTGTCTGGCCACCAGTGTATGTTCTTTTCAGTAAGTCATGTGAACAGTGAACTGGGTGAAAGAATATTAACCTTTGGATTGGCTAAAAGAAAGCTCACTCATTTTTCACAGGTCTAGACTTTTGTTTTCTCCTTTTAGGAGAGTCAAGCCCTACCCGTCGAGAAGCTGTGAAGAGAAGAACAGCTGAATATCTCATGCGAGCTGAAAGTATCTCTGGCCTTTATAGAAAACCACAAGTCGATGATGTATCTCAGGTGTGTCTTATATTTTGTTTATATTTTCATTAGCCACATTCTGCTGTCTCCTCTCTTACCTTTATTTCTAACTAGAATGTTAAAGTGTGGAATTTTGTGGCTGATTTTCTTTTTTAAACTTTTTTTATTTATTATTATCATTATTCTTTAATTTGCCATAGGGAATATGCACTCACCAGAGAGAGACTGTAGGGGGGAGTGGGGCAAGAGTGAGAAAGCAAGCTGCTAGGTCTGGGACTTGAAGCATGGTTGGTCATGTGGGAGTCCAGCACCTCAACTACCATGCCACCTGCTGGCTCCTGTGACTGATTTTTAAATAGTTATTGGTGGAAGGTAAAACATTATTGCAAATCACCAAAAGTGAAGTAAAATGGGTCTTGCTATCTCCTTTTTGGGCCTTTTGTTAGTTCCTTTCTGTACCTCTTAATCTTTCCATCTGTAGAGTGACAGTAATTGTACTATTAAGATACTTACCTGTATTTGAACTTCTTGAAGTAATATTTTTTAAAAATATAATTCACATATGGTTTTATTGAATTATACTAAAAGTATTCATAAGCATAAGTCCTGGGGCTGGCAGGTGGCATGGTGGTTAAGGTCACTGGACTCCCACATGGCCAACCGTGGTTTGAGTCCCAGATCTGGCGGCTTACGTTCTCACTTTCTTTCTCTCTGTCCATTTCTGGTCAATAAATAAATAAATAAAGTTAAATACAAACAAAGTTAAAAAGAAAAAAGCATAAGTCCTGTGAGTATCTGCTATCGGGCACCTGGAATTATAAAGGCATAGCAGGGGTATTTAGGGTTATTTGCAACTACATCTAGTGTAAAACATTGAAAAATGAGAATTTTTTTTTTTTTTTTTTTTTTTTTTAAGATTGTTGCTATAGGCTGTGTGTGCTTGCCAGAGAGACAAAGAGACAGAAAGTGAGAAATAGGCACACTAGCCCAATATGTCTTTTTAAGCTGCCAGGTCCAGGACTCAAACTGTGTGGCTGACTATGTGGTATCCAGCTATTTTTTTTTTTTTTTAATTTAGGTATTATTAATACCAGAGGGCATTGTGAGTGAGTGAGGGGTAGATCATACTCCCCAATGAGGCCTGGCCATGTCCTGAAATCCTTTTGTTTTTCTTCCATTTCTCCATCCTGTCAGAATCCTGGACTGTGTACGTCCCTGGCATGTTTTTCAAGCTATTGGGACTGGGATTTGAACTGTGGTCAGCCTTGTGGGATCAGACTCCCTCTGTACAGCACTGCTATGCCACAGGCCAGCCCTAGATCTCATCTTTTTAAAGTGGACTATTTATCTAAACATATTCAGCCCCTACTTTCCATGGGATTGGTTACTCTTGTATGTAATCTTGATGTATATATTCTCAGATTTATTTTTGCAAGTATTAACAAAAGCATTAAATAATATGGGCTTCTCTGAACTCGTTAGAATAAATTTACCTTGTAGGAGTAGGTGACATGGTGGTTAAAGGTGCTGGATTCCCACGTGACCGATTGCGGTTTGGGTCCTGGACCTGGCGCTTGCTTTCTCTCTCTCTTTCTCTCTCTTCTTCTATGACCCAATTAAATAAATAAATAAAGTTAAATAAAATAATTCTTTTAAAAATTTTACCTTGTATATTAATATTTTGGAAGTCTTAAGAATTCAGATTGCCAGTGTTCTGTTCATCCCATTTACATTAACTTTGAACGTTCTTCCTATATTTACTCATTTTGTCTCTCTACTTATATATCACTGTTATAGTTTCCCATAGGCACTTATTTTTTTTTTTAGAGAGATTTTTGTTGTAGGGTGTGCACGCTTGTTAGAGAGACAGAGAGACACAGAAAGAAAGAGACAGATCACCTCCTAGGGGGATGGCCCTGGTGGCCATGCCACAGTCCCTTCTCCTC